TCCGGTCTGGGTTTTGAGGTGTCCCCGCGCAGTCAGGGGCCCGGGCGCGGGGGGCAGGTCGGCTCTAGTCCCTTTCCGTGTCCCGGTCACCCCGCGGTGGGGCCTGCGGGGCCCTCAGGCTGAGCCCGCGGCTCCTGGAGGGGCACAGAGCAGGGCCTGGGCCAGTCAGGCCCCAAAGATGCTCCGATTCCTGCCCTGCTGATGCTGTGTCCTTGCTCCCACGCCTGCAGGAGGCCGGACGTATGTGCTGAGCTCTCACTATGAACGCTATTGTTGCCCTCTGCCATTTCTGTGAGCTGCACGGCCCTCGCACCCTCTTTTGCACGGAGGTTCTACACTCGCCGCTCCCCCAAGGCGCGAGCAGCGGCGACATCTCGGGGCAGAATGAGCAGGGAGAAGAGGAGGAAGGAGGCATCCAGATGAGCAGCCGGATCCGCTCGCACAGCCCAGCAGAAGGTGCCAGTGCTGACTCCAGCAGCCCAGGGCCAAAGAAGTCAGACATGTGTGAGGCAAGTGGGAAGATCCCTGTGTGGACATCAGGGGTCCTTAGCTTAACTAAGGGGCTCTTGGACTCTTTGAGTTGTTTCAGAGATAAAAAAAAGTGAACTCCTGTTTTGTGTGTGCCTGCTTGTACTTGAAGATCTTTAAGTCCTCGTAAACTGTCATGATCCATGACAGGAGAATGAAGGGACTGTTGAATATATAGATCTTAACAAGATGGTGACTTGAAGTCTCTTTAAGCCCTATGATCTGTGATTCTCTTGTGGCTGGAAAATGCTTTCCTCCTCTACTTTATTAGATTAGGTCTTGTAATTTATTAATAGTAATTTTAAGACCAGTATTGATTAGGAAGTAGAAAAAAAAAGCAAAAGCCAGCACACCAATGGAGGAGATGTAGTGTTCTCATGCTGCTATTGTCTGTTTGTCTGCTATTAGTACTTGTTCCATGGTGTTTGTTAGTTACTTTCCTTTAGGCTATGACCAGTTTTCTGAGGCCAGTTGGTTTCACAGCTGCTGTGAACTGAATTTTACCACTTGCAGAGCCAGCACCAAGTTCACAATCAAATTAAATAGTAGAAAATGAACATAAGAGCAGAGGAAGCACAGAGCAGTGTGAGAGGAGCTGGGCTCAAATCCTGACCCTGCCTCATATTTCTTGTCTTCTGGTCTTATCTATGTGTCTTTAGTACTGTTTCTGAAGGGAATACAGAGAGGCCTTTAGGAACCTGAGGTAACTGCCTGCTCATTTATGGCTGGATTTGCTTTTCTGTCCTCAGGGCTGCCGCTCTCTTGCAGGAGGCCATCCTGGCTATGTCAGCCACGACAAGGAAACCTCCATCAAGTACGTCAGCCACCAGCACCCAAACCACCCCCAGCTCTTCAGCATCGTGCGCCAGGCCTGCGTGCGCAGCCTGAGCTGCGAGGTAACTGCCCTGGGGGCCAGGGGGAAACCTCTCCATGGCCCCCCTGTGTTGTTTCCAATCCAAGCTGGTGCTTTACTGAGCCTGGCTGCTCTCTGTGGGCTGGGAATGGAGGTGGAAAGACAGGCACATGAGTCTGTTCAGTCCAGGGTTGGTGGGAATTTCTAAGGTTGATCTTTGAGAACCCTGTGGGTTTCTTCCTCTCACCCTAAACATTTAATCTTCTTTTGTTTGCTCCTGTATTTGTGCTGATTTTCTCTGCAAGATAAACTGTTTTTGTAAAAAACATTTAAATGTGTCGTTTAGTGGCAAGAAATATTTGATCTTTTTAGACCATTAACATTCAGCATCCTGTGAAAGTGAAGGGAGGACCTTGCAGATTCGTGAGCCTTTGGGTGTCAGGATCAGCAAAATCCCTTGGGGGTTCTCAACAGTATCGTAGTTGAATAGAGCCAAATTTTTGAAATACAGTAAAATTAAAGGTTTTGTAGTGTTTGTAGGATACCTCTGGATGTCTGCTTGACCCTGGGTTTTGGGTGGTAGCCTAAGGAAAGGTTTGTTCCACTCACCAAGTGTGTGTTAAAGAGCAGGAAGCTTTGTTCAGTTTATTACCTTCCCAGCTGTGTGATGTGGTTGATGTGTCCTTCCTCTTCAGGTCTGCCCAGGACGAGAAGGCCCTATTTTTTTTGGAGATGAGCAGCATGGCTTTGTGTTCAGTCACACCTTCTTTATCAAAGACAGCCTGGCTCGAGGTTTCCAGCGCTGGTACAGCATCATCACCATCATGATGGACCGGATTTACCTCATCAACTCGTGGCCTTTCTTGTTGGGAAAAATCAGAGGCATCATTGATGAGCTTCAGGGCAAAGCACTTAAGGTAGGATCCATGCACAGAGTCTGTTTGACTCAACCACAGTAAAACATGATGAAAGGTGAGGTGAAGCTGAGTCAAAAAGCTGATCCAGCCTCTTGCAACCAGGGTGGTCATTAAGATTGACACGAGGGATGAGGACGGTGCACAATCGGGGGTGTAGGAGAGAAGGAACAAGCTGCCTCTCTCATTATGAGCCAGACATAACACTTTTCACAGACCCTAACAGCTAGACAAAAGCTCTGCTAGAGATTTAAGTAACTGAAGTTGAGGAGGACAATGGTTTTGGAGAGTGAATGTTGCTTAATGACAATTTTAGTCCATCCAAGAGTGAGATGTCCCCTCCCTGTAGTTGACGATGTGTTTTAGATGATGGCGTATTCATATTTGGGTTGGGTTTGTGGTTTTTTTTTGGGCTCAGCTTTGCATAAGCTTTTTGTCTTTTCCAGTCTCTTACACTGCTCTTCTTCCATGCTGCAGGTGTTTGAAGCAGAGCAGTTTGGGTGCCCCCAGCGTGCCCAGCGGATGAACACGGCCTTCACCCCCTTCCTGCACCAGCGCAATGGCAACGCAGCGCGCTCCTTGACGTCCCTCACCAACGATGAGAACCTCTGGGCATGTCTGCACACTTCTTTTGCTTGGTAATGCCACTTGTGTACCCAGCTCCTTCACAAAGGGAATGCTGCTGTGTTCTGAAAGGGTGGAAGTGTGATTTGGGTTTTCGGGTGGGTTTTTTTTTGGTTGAGGTTGTAAGTTGGACTTTGCTCTTGGAGGGAGGCCACAAAGATGACTAGAGACTGAAGCACCTCTTCTATGAAGAAAGGCTGAGAGGGCTGGGATTGTTGAGCCTGGAGAAGAGAAGGTTCTAGGGAGATCTTAGAGCACCTTCCAGTGCCTGAAGGGGCTCCAGGAAAGATGGGGAGGGACTTTTAACAAGAGCTTGTAGTGAGAGGACAAGGGGAAATGGATTAAAACTGGAAGAGGGAAGATCTAGATTAGACAGTAGGAGGAGGTTCTTCATTATGAGGGTGGCGAGACACTGGAACAGGTTTCCTAGAGAAGCTGTGGCTGCTCCATCCCTGGAAGTGTTCAAGGGCAGGTTGGATGGGGCTTTGAGCAACCTGGTCTAGTGGGAGGTGTCCCTGCAGGGGGGGGATTGGAACTAGATGATCTTTAAAGACCTTTCCAACCCAAACCAGTCTGGGATTCTGGGTAGTCTGTGACTTGGAAGGAGCCAAGCACAAAGCTGCCAGCTGAAGCCTTCAGGGCAAAAAAAATTCTTGTTGTTCTGAAGTAAACTACTAATGTGTCTGCTAAAGGAAACCAGGTCAGTCTAGGTGGAAAGGTTTGCAGTATAAAGGGGAATATGAAAGAAAGCAAGTAAAGATGCTTGTACCTTGGATTCACACCTGGAGTGGGGTGGTTGTTCACCGGGAAGTGCGGCTGTGTTGTGACAGGCAGGGTGGGAGGTGCAGGCATTTGGCACCATGGTGTGGCTGTTGGAGTCCAGTTACTCCAGGTCATCAGGCTTCCCTGGAAAGGTGCCACCGAGAGGGTTGCAACACTGGCATGTGACTTGGACGGGTGACAAGGATGTCACACGCAGTCGTTGCAAAATGGCTTTTGTGGACTGTGAGTGGCAGCAGTTGTAAGACACGGTGGTGGTGACCCCTGTCACATGTTGAAGGGAACACAGACTGATTAGTGGCTGGGTTTTTGTGTTCAGCTTATCACACCAAATGACTTACTGGGTTTTTGCACCTTTAGTGAACATTACTTCTGTTTCTTCCAATGTCTCCAGGCTTTTGAAAGCTTGTGGCAGCCGACTGACAGAGAAACTTCTGGAGGGAGCACCAACAGAAGACACTCTTGTTCAGATGGAAAAACTTGCAGGTGAGATAGAAGTTTCCAGAGCTGGAAGACCCTCTGAGAATGCTTTGGGTGGTAAAGCACCAGGTCCTTTTTTCAGCCTCATAGGCACAGCCATCTGTGTCTCGGCCATCTCCTTGGCGTCAGTCTCTGTAGTAGCTGACGTGCTCCCACGTGGAGATGACTCTGACAGGAATGTGAAATCAGGGCCCTTGGCCTTGTAGGCTCCCTGCACACACATGTGGTGGTGTTTGTAGGAGTGTTGCATCATCATGATTATTATTCCCTCTGGCTGGGTTAGCCCTCCTGATGAGTCTCTACAGCCAGAGGAATTTGCAGTCACAGTGCATGGTTCTTGCTCCTTTCTCTACAACGTTTCTAAAATTAATGTACCATAACTTATGGTTTTTTTGCACAGAATTATTTTTATTAATCCATTCAGACTAGAATCTGTAAAACCTGTCTCAAAGCCTTGGCCACGACCTTTAAAACAAGAATAGAGACCATGTAGCTGGTCAAAAGGTGTGACTCCGTGTCCTGTAGAAGATAAAAATTCCTTCTTGGCCCTTCAGTGGTTATTGTGTGTCTGAATTACGAAATTTCATTGACACCCCTGATGTGTCTCTGACTCTGTTCTGAACTCAGTCTCCCCACATGTCACCAGAGTCAGTTGGCTGCAGGGTGTGCAGGCACTTCTGAGGCAGTTCTGAGTCCCAGAGAGTAGCAGTTTTTATGACCCCTACTTTTTTCTAGACCTGAAAGAAGAGTCAGAAGGCTGGGATGGTTCCGAGGAAGAAGAGAAGCCTTCTTCCCAGCCAGATGTTGTGGAAGGGCAGGAGCTATCTAAATGTTCACCTGAAACATCTCTGATGCCAGATTGCAACAGCTGGAATGTAGCTCACAGGAGGTTGTCCATCTTCCGCTCCCTCAGGCACATGAGGCAGGTAAGGGAGAAGCACAATTCCTCTGATGCTGAATTCACAAGCTGATAACTTCTTCTTTCCTCATAATGTTTTTTTCAAAAGGCCTCTTTATTTCCTGCAGTCTGCACTTCTTTCCTGGTCCTGTGTTCCCCACAGTGCCACCATAGCCACTCACACCCTGCTAACTGTAGCTCTGAGGACACTCCTTCCCATGGAGATCACGGGGGCCTCTGGGGATCATCCATCCTGTGGGACAGGATCATATGATTTCTCTCAAATTCTGCATTTTTCCTCTTCCCAAGAGCAGTGACAGTAATTGAACACAGAGGTTGTGCAGCATCTTCAAAGCCAAGTATTGTTTGCTTAAAACAAAAGTGTTTCAGAGAGGGGGGGAATAATTTACAAGCAAAACAAATGGTTTTGTACAGACCCAGCTTTTATCCAGTGCTTCCAGTGACCTGGCTGAGGGGGAAGGTTTAGTGCATTTGACCCACAGTCTCTTTCACCCCACCTTGTTTCCCTGGGCACTCCTGACCAATGTTTGCTTTATGTTGTAGCCTTCCTTTGTTCTGCTGTCCCCTAATGTAGAATTCCTGAAGGGATCAAGCTACCCCACTGTATTGCAGGCATGTGCCTTAAGAGGCTGGTCTGGGAATAGTTTCACCTTTTGTGCCTGGACCACTGTTGTGGACATAACCCAGATCAGATAAATGCCTGAAAGTTGTTACATTGAACACAAGTTTCTCTGTCCCCCTCCAAACAGCCTTGTGCCCATCTTAACAAACCCCTAATTTGGCCAACAAGTGGGCTGATGGGTGCTGTTCAGCCAGAGCACTGAAGAATTTGGAGCAACCTAGAAATTAAGCTTTTGTTCTCTTAGTGTGCTTGAAATTGGATCGTTTTGAATCACTTTGCTGCTGTTTGTTCTTGAAACCATAGATGGGGGTGAATATTGTTTGGTGTGACAGTCTGGCACTTCTCACACCTGTCAAAGACATGCTTGAGCTTTGGTTTAGACTGTTGCTCTGTGCATGGGACCTGTTCCATTGTCATATCCATTTCTGCTGCTCCATTCTGGCCATTTTCTTACATGGCACTTGTGTTTCTGTCATTTTCATAACCAATGCAGAATTTTTGAGTTTGTTTTTGTTGTTGGGTTTTTTTTCCCAGGTTCTGGGGGCATCAGCATTCCGAATGCTGGCTTGGCATGTTCTGATGGGGAACCAGGTTATCTGGAAAGCTCGAGACATGGATCTTGTCCAGTCTGCTTTTGATGTGCTACGGGTAGAAACCTTTTCCTTTATTTCCTGACACTGTATTTTTACATATATTTTTGTAGGAATTCAGCCTGTCTCTGACATGTGATCTTGCAGAGAATGGGTGTTAAATGATGTGGTTTGGGGCAGGGAGGAAAAGCAAAAAGCACCCAAAACAAACCTAAAAAAAACCCCAAGTGTTTGGATGTCTTGGTTGTCCTCAGCAGCCACGTAGTCTTTCAAGCTGAATGGGGTGCATCTGATCCCCCAAATCTGAGCATCTGCCCAAGCAGTGCTCCAAGTCCTGTGCTCCATGGAACTCAGGGAGAAAATTGTACTTTGCTGGTTTCTCTCTTGTGTTCCTCCTGACGTGTGTCCTTCCCTCCTCAGACTATGCTGCCCGTGGGCTGCGTGCGGATCATCCCCTACAGTGACCAGTATGAGGAGGCCTATCGCTGCAACTTCCTGGGGCTTGGCCCACACGTCCAGATCCCATCCCACATACTGTCATCTGGTAAGAATGTGTTGCAGGACCCTCTCCTTTCCCTATCACCTTGAAAGACACAAGATTTTTTAATGACTATGATTACCAAGTCCTGGCAGTTGGTCTAACAATGCTACATGAACCTGTACCACTTTTTCCACGTACCCTGCCTGCTCAGTAGCTGAAAGGTGTGACACCCGCTTCAGCTGACACTCCTGGCTCCTACTGAGGAAAGGTTAATGCTCAGCCAGACTTTGTGAGCTGGCAGAGCTGTGCTTTCTTGGCACGGGGTGTGTAGCTGTGTTTTAGAATCTGGGCTGGTACAATGACTGTTCTTTTGGGCTCTTGTTGCTCCAGAGTTCGCGGTGCTTGTGGAGGTTCGCGCTGCTGCCCGGTCCAGTCTCTACCCAGCTCTGTTTGATGATGACCAGTCCCTCAACAAGTATGAGTTTGTTGTCACCAGTGGCAGCCCTGTTGCAGCAGATCGAGGTGGGTGATGTGACAGCAGAAAGAATCTGTATCACTGAGGTGAAAAGAGCATCTTGATGGTTTACTCTTTTTGTGCTGTGGGTGTACTGGCCCTTAAGGAAGTCCGAGGAGGAGGCCGGGTCAGTTTGCAGCTGGGGTAAGTGGTGTTGGAGATGAGATTTGCCACAGCCTGTTTAATTAGCAAGGGTTTGCTTTACCTGATAAGTGTTTTGCTTATTAATTTGCAGAAATGAGAAGAGAGTTCTGTATCATGGGTTCAGGAACAATTGGAGGGAAATCCTGTTGTAACCCACAGCGAACGTTTTCTATCCTGGAATATTTGGGTTCAGATTCCCCCACATTGGACAGTTTTAAGTCTCAGCTTGACAGGATGCAACTTCAGTTTCAAAGTGGATCTGAAGAAAACAAAGACCTCTCAACCTCTGTGCACGTCCCAGGATCCTTCACAAAATGCCATGTTGTTTCTTGCATCAAATGTTCTTCTAGTGGGATAATCTTCCTTCCATGGAAATGAAATTCAGGCAGGCCACGGGGTGGATATGTTTCCACCTTGTAGAATAGGCAGGTTTCTTCCTGACTTGAGGAAGATGATAATCTGTGAACTAATCAAGACAAATTCTAGCTGAAATTAGCTGTACTGTTACTGATAGTGGTCTTTTCTGATCCTGTAGTTGGCCCTACAATCCTGAACAAGATCGAAGCTGCCCTGACCAACCAGAACCTTTCTGTAGATGTTGTGGATCAGTGCCTTGTTTGCCTGAAGGAGGAGTGGATGAAGTAAGTAGGACTGCACTGCTCTAGCACCAGCCCTGGAATGGCTACTGCAGAGTACAGGACAGGCTTGTAGTGGAGTAACTTCTGCTGTAGTTGGCTTTACTGCTGGGAGCAAAGAATATCAAAGTTCTGCTCTAATCATAATTTTCTTTTTGGGTTTCAGCAGTTCTTAACCTTTTTGCTTCAGTTGATGCATCTGTAGGTTACCTGCATGACAATACTTGTCTGCCTCACACACGTGAGGAGGGGGAAATCCTGTTGTAACCCACAGCAAACGTTTTCTATCCTGGAATATTTGGGTTTAGATTCCCCCACATTGGACAGTTTTAAGTCTCAGCTTGACAGGATGCAACTTCAGTTTCAAAGTGGATCTGAAGAAAACAAAGACCTCTCAACCTCTGTGCACGTCCCAGGATCCTTCACAAAATGCCATGTTGTTTCTTGCATCAAATGTTCTTCTAGTGGATAATCTTCCTTCCATGGAAATGAAATTCAGGCAGGCCACGGGGTGGATATGTTTCCACCTTGTAGAATAGGCAGGTTTCTTCCTGACTTGAGGAAGATGATAATCTGTGATCTAATCAAGACAAATTCTAGCTGAAATTAGCTGTACTGTTACTAATAGTGGTCTTTTCTCATCCTGTAGTTGGCCCTACAATCCTGAACAAGATCGAAGCTGCCCTGACCAACCAGAACCTTTCTGTAGATGTTGTGGATCAGTGCCTTGTTTGCCTGAAGGAGGAGTGGATGAAGTAAGTAGGACTGCACTGCTCTAGCACCAGCCCTGGAATGGCTACTGCAGAGTACAGGACAGGCTTGTAGTTGGCTTTACTGCTGGGAGCAAAGAATATCAAAGTTCTGCTCTAATCATAATTTTCTTTTTGGGTTTCAGCAGTTCTTAACCTTTTTGCTTCAGTTGATGCATCTGTAGGTTACCTGCATGACAATACTTGTCTGCCTCACACACGTGAGGAGGATGAAGTGTGCAAATCCACCTGTGCTTGTCAGTGTGCACTGGGTTCCAGTGCAGATGACGTGCCAGGTGGGTGTCATGGTTGCACCTTCAGGCACCACATTTCAAAGGTGCAAGGTTCTGAAGGAAGACCAGTCAGTCATGTGAAATAATTCATGGGACATGAAGATTTTGTGAATTTACCTGAGGGTGAATATGTCTCCTGGGAGATTCCTAGTTGTCACAATTAATCATTTTACTTTTTGCTATAATGAAACAAAACAGATTAGAGTTACAGATATTACTACTGAAAATGAGTAGCCCTCCTAATCAGCCCCCTTCTTTTATTGTACTCATCTTCCTTCTACCCTCAAAGCATGAAAATAGTTACCATGGGATATTGTTGGAAGCTTTTATTAAGATTTAGTTGCATTAGGTGCTCAGGGAAGCTGCAGTCACTGCTCATTCTCTGTGCAAGTCCCTCGTAACAGTGACAGGAGTTTCTTGTTCCTGCAGTAAAGTGAAGGTCCTCTTCAAATTCACTAAAGTGGACAGCAGACCCAAGGAGGACACCCAAAAACTGCTGAGCATTCTGGGGGCTGCAGAGGAGGACAATGTCAAGCTTCTCAAGTTCTGGATGACTGGTCTGAGCAAGACATACAAATCCCACCTGATGTCAACAGTTCGCAGCCCAACGTCCTCGGAGTCCCGGAACTAAAAGGTGCCCAAACCTCACTTGCTGCCTTCAAATAATGGCAGGGAACCCTGAATTCCCACTGCTGAGCCTGCAGCATATGCATTAGATGGATAGTGAAACTTCATCACTGTTCTTCTGGTCCTCAAACTAACTTGAAGAGTGACTTGAGTCTTTTTCTAATCGTTGTGAGACTGGACTAATAAGTGCTAATCAATAGTGCTGCTGTCTGCCCTGAAACTCAACTGTAAATCTAGACCTCCACACTCAAGACTCAAATACAACAACCCTCAAAAGAATCAGTATGAAATAATTAAAATCCCATCCTGTCCTCATTAAGCATTATGGTATGGCAGCAGACCTCAGTTTTAGGTTTCATTGGCAAGACTTGGATGCCTGTGACAACATCTGGAACCGCTTGGAGTGGATCTAGTGAATCTCTCTGATTCCCACACGAATCACCTAAATGCTTGAGAGTAAGAACCAAAAGATCAGTGACGTGTCACAGGGTATGGATCACATGTCAGTTCTTTCAAACCACTTCATACTCACATTTGAGAAGAGACTTTCTGCTGCTGTAGCATAAGATGGGGTGTCCTGTTGGAGTCCTGTCACTCCACTTTATTTATTTATATCCTAACTTGAGACACTTTCAGCATTTGCTTTGGGTATCTTGACTGGGAGAGAGAATTGTAACATTAAGAAGTCTCCAAGTGCAGCCTGTTTGCCTCTCCAGAGGGGAAAACACTTGCTTTGTTTTGCCTGTGGATGCAAAACTTCCAGGTAATGAAGATAACCTCAGCAGGGTCAGGCTGCTTGTTGTTCCTCTGTCTTGAGAAATACTTTTCTAGCTTCTTAATTAAGTTAAGCAGAAAAGATCCAACCTGTAGGTGCTCCCTTCTTATATAACTCTGTAGTAGCCATTTTTGCTTAATAGTTAATGGAAACATTGGTGCATATTTTTAATTACCTAAACTGATATTCCTTATCTGTATTGTAAGGAATTACTGTTGCACTTGTGAAGGTTTGTTGTTTTATTTTTCTTTCCTGGATCATTGTTGGGAAAACTTGACATTACCACAGACATTTTTACCAAGCTAGAGGCAGGTTTTACCCAGGTGACCTTCTGCACTCATTCCAACAGGGCTCAAGCTCAGAGGGGATGTTCAAGTTCTGTTCTTATGTATAAAATATGCAGGTTGATATTTTTTTTTTGTCTGGAACATCTGTAAAATGGCGACAGGCATTAAATCTCATTAAGAGCTATTTTTGTAAAATGGATAAAGCCCAGTTTTGTGTTGATTTTTCAGTGGGGGAAGAAACAGGTGGTCCACTAGGTAACTCCTCTATCTTAGCCTTGATCTAATTTATAGAATGTAACAGGTTTTTTTTCCTCTTAACTTTGTGTGTGTTGGTTTCTTGTACATATGGAGCAAGAGCTTCTCAGATATATGAATTGCAAATGTTTGAGTGGACATAAACAACCTCAGGATATCCAAACAGCACACAGATGCTTGAAAGAAGGCATTACTCTTGTCACTTCAAAAACTAACCACTGATTTAATTTCAGGGTTTGCAAAAAGGCTTCTCAATAAGGGAACAGGAGACAACAGAGGTGCTCGAGCTCTATCCACAGGAAAGGAAGCCTTGGATCATAAATACATCTTGTTTCCTGGGTGCTAGTCAGGAGGGAGAACCAAAGTCCATGGATGGTAGGATAAAAGCAACAGAGGTGATTAGAAAAGTGTGGAGTAGTGAGTCAGAATGTCCAGTACTAGGTTGGTGCTTGCTCTTGTAGATACCTTTTCTGTGATCTAGTACTCTGTCTCTCTACTTGAAAGCTATTGTGCCCCACTTCAGAGCTGTATAAAACAACAGGTAAGACCTTAATTAGCATCTAGACCTTCTTGATCATGGAACTGTTTTTATCTTTTGAAGAATCTCTCTCCCAAGAAATGCCACGTTAAATCTGAGGCTCTGTCTAATCTGCTGGTGGTGCTTGTGCACCTACCAGCAGTGCCTCTTTCTGAACATAACTCTGCTTTGTTCCAAAACAGCAAAAGGGTGGTCACTAGGTCAAGCTTGAGGCTTCATCCTCTTGTGCTGTGTAGTCACTTGGTCTTAGGTCTGAAACAGGGCTGTGTCACAACCTGACTCTGGGTAATGTATCATTTTTGAGCCAGAACACTAAGCTAACACCTAAAATACCTACAGGAAAGAAGGGGGAGAGTTGCTGAAGGCTGTGAACCCCTAAAACCAGATTGTGCTTGCCTGCAGAGCAGATCTAGACATGGGATTAGCAAATCATTGTCTGGGCAGGTTCCCCCGCTCGGGTGCTCATTTTGCCGTCGGCGATAGCTGGAATGTGCAGGCTGCTCTTAGCACAGCTTAATTAACCAGACCCTGTGTGTGCAGACAGCTCTCACCACCCTCCTTCCCAGGAAAGCAGGGTGTTTCTTTATTGGGACGTGATTTCCTTCTCTGCAGGGCTGAGCAGCGTGTAGCTGGGCAGGAGGTGGGAGGGGCAGGACAGACCCAGCCCTGGTGCTGAGCCACGGGCTGGGTGGCAAAAAAGGCTTTTTGCACTAGTTCTGCTTAGAATCATAGGGTGGTTTGGGTTGGTAAGAGGCCTTTAAGAGCACAGAGCCCACCTGTTAACTGTCCACTGCCCTGTCCCTCATCCACACACCTTTTAAAATCCCTCTGGGGATGGTGACTCCACCACTGCCCTGGGCTGCCCCAGTGCCCCCCAGCCCCACAGAGGTGAAGGGAGTGGAACATCTCCCTTATGGGGAAAGGCTGAGGGTCTGTCTAGCCTGGAGGAGCCTGAGGGGCAACCTCATCCGTGTTTAGCAATATGTCCAGGGCAGTGTCAGGGCAGAGCCAGGCTTTGTGCAGTGATGTCCAGTGACAGGACAAGGGGCAGTGGGTGCAAACTGGAGCACAGGAGGTTCCATGTGAATCTCAGGAAGAACTTGTTTGCTGTGAGAGTGCCAGAGCCCTGGGCCAGGCTGCCCAGAGAGGCTGTGGAGTCTCCTTCTCTGGAGACATTCCAACCCCCCTGGACACGTTCCTGTGTGATGTGCTCTGGGTGCCCCTGCTCTGGCAGGGGGGTTGGGCTGGGGGAGCTTCCCAGGTCCCTTCCGAGCCCTGGGATTCTGGGATTCAGTGCAGCCGGGCAGGACGCGGAGCGGGTGGCTCTGCTCAGCTTTTCGTTTCAGACGAGATGCGCTCCGGTGGCCGAAGCGGCTCTTTAACCCGCCCAAGCCCCGCAGCC